TATGAATTTAATGCACAACAATGCTTTAACAATAGTGATATAGGTAAATAATTCAATAAAAAAAAAAAGGATTTTTAAATAATAGTTATTTTGATTATTCAAAACATGCATAATATAGATCTGTTTATGGGACCTTGGAAATTCCAAATTTACATTTTGTAATGTAAACTTCATCTACCTGTGTCATCTGGTTTATCCACAATTTACTGTTTCAACCTTCTGATGTGAGTCTTAAAGTATGTTTCACTATTCTTTATTAATGTATGGCATCAATACCTTTAATATCAAGTCTTTGAATGGCATTTAGCAATTGTGAGTACGATATATAGACACAGCTTTATGGAACAACAACCAGTGATTCTTGTTCCATAAAGCTGTGTCTATATACCTTTCATATAGTTATCCCTGAAACTAAACAACAACATTTTTCTAAAGTATTTAGGTAACAATAAATACAAAAAGGAAATATATGGACAATGTAAATCTGGTTAGTTTAGTATCAATATCCATTTATTTTTCTATTATTCATGGTCTTCTAAACTCTGTACATCTAGGAGAAATTCCATACCGAAATGCAAACAAAATAGTTCACACGTGTTTGGAAATGCTTCTGGATGATAAATATCCTTTTCTTAAAGAGATTGTAAAGCGGTTTTCTAATATTTTTATGTGTATCGAGGACACTGCATCAATTGCACAATGCCAATTTTCAATCAGATGTCTATGGTTCCTACAATTCTGCTAAAACTAAGTGTTTGATGACACTTGTGAAACATACAATAACCTAATACCTTCGTGATTAGTGATGTCATCAAACACTTAGTTCTCGTGGAGTTGAAAATGGGTATAGTGCAAATTGATGCTATGTGTCCCTGATACACATACAAAATTTATAAAACCTTTTTACAATCACTTTAATATGACTTTACATTGACAACAGGATATATGGGTTGTTATAATCTAATATACATCTATTATAAAAATATTGAAAGGAATATGGCTATATATAATAAATATCATCACAATGACTTAAAGATACTTAAAAACGCCATGCAAGGTGCAATGAGGGAAATTTTGCCAAGACAGCGGCATTAGCCTGCTCTTTTTCGATTTCAAACTGTCAAGGGATCTTTAACGTGCACAGCCTCATTAAAACAACCAGGCTTTTTCAAGTCTAATTTATATTATGGCTTATTGAAATCAAATTCAAACATGTCTGACATGTTTCTAATCTGTCTGTTGAAAGTCTTATAATTAAATCACGATTCCGTTTACACAGTATCACGCAATTTGCTTGGATAACAGAGTTCACGGTTTCTATCTGTGTAAACGTAATGTAAATATAAGCTCCGCCCCTTAACGAATTACTTTTATCATTGAGTTTGATTGACGTGGCCACGACACAGCGTCGATGTCTTTCCTTCGAACGTCACCAGAGCCGAAATCTACACTTCACTGAATGATTACAGTATTTTCCAAATTCCCTCGAATGTGCACTCTCCAAATATCAACAAAACTTATTTTATTATTTCGAACCTTGGCTTTCAATAATTGAACTTTAAATGTGGCCGCTCCGTCAACTTTCAAGTAGTAGTATTAGTTCATTAACGTTATGTTAAAATATTAGGTATTTATGCGCCAATTTTGTGCCTTAGTTTGTTGCTATTTTAGATAAGAATGACCTGAAAGTTTTTTAGTTTATCCATCCAATCTTATTTTGAAAAGGGGTACAGATGAACTGAGATGGTGCTCTATCAGCTTGTAAGATAAATGCTTATATGACAATATCCCTATAACTCTAAAAATCAGCTTATAAAGAATTGTGATGGCTCAATTGATGATAACATGGGTTATGATTAATCCATTAACTATATTATTAAAAAGACCCTAGCTTCTAGAATGCACATAAAATTTACCTTCTCAAACTTAACCGTATTATCCATCATTTAATAGTTTTAAAGATAATCACTTAGTTTTATGGATTTATCTGATCATAGAGAGATATTCTGTTGTATAGTTTTGATAGATCCAAATTGGCAGAGTTTAAACATCTAAATTTTGTCTTCAATCTAAGAGGTAGTATTTCTTTAACTAAAAGCAAGATTTCAGAAGTCAGTCTTTGTGAGTTTTAGGTTATTCTGTGAACAAGTGGTATCTCCTATATTATATTTCACATATATACCCATCAAGTGGTTTTGTAGGATAATTCGTAGCTTTGAATAAAAAATTATTGATCACAATATTCAATATCGGTATCACGATATAAATATCATAATATAAATTGAGTTTCTATCGTCCAGCTCTAGCTA